GGGCTGGGTAAGAGACTGGATAGACTGTTGATTACTACAAACAGTACTGTCTCCAATTATATATAATCCGGGGTGACCATCCCAGCCTTCTATTGGGCCACCCCTTTGGAGTTTAAAGTCGACACAAATCGGTTCGGAATATTTGTTACATTAGCAACACGATAACCTTCCTTAGTATTCGGATTGTCAACGACCCAGTTATTCGCACATTGCGAAGCAATATGTCCCGAGCCATTGCACATCTGGCATTTGAACGAACCATCAATGGGTCCTTGTTCCCTGCTTGTGCGTTTTAGGGGGCAATTTCTTGCTATGTGACCCTCTTTAGAACAAAAGTAACATGTCACACGGCGTACTGGCTGTTGACGTCCAGCAAATTGGGAGGTCGGTTCTTTTTTTTGAACAGTGGCTACGTACAAACTATTGTTCATTTTCAGCTCCTCTACTGCCGCTGTTAGCTTGTCCAGCCGTCCCTCAATAGATGTCGGTGAAGGGACGACATCTGTGGCTGCAAACAAACCAGGGTGAGGTCCATGATTGTCACTTATCGCCAGAAACTGTTTGGAAAAGGAGAGCATATCATCCAACTTCGGGGTCGGGTTATGTTCAAGAAGTTTATAACGAATGGTATTGGGAAATCCCTTCATAAATTGTCGGGATAACAAGGCAGAAGTGGCAGCTTTTTCCAAAGTCGGATCCGCCTTTTTCAGCAATTCCTGAAGAGACCACAGAAAAACACTAGGATCCTCACCACTACGCAAAACACGATCTTCAAATTCTCGAAAATAGCCTTCTCGTCCGACAGCAGGACACAAGGCAGTCTGGAGACTGGTTGTTAAATGTGCAAACGTATCTTTTTCATCATCAGATAATGTATGAAAATACGTAGCCGCCAACCCTCGCAAAAATGCCGGCAGCTTTTGCAACTTTTGGTCGTCTGTCCAGCCATTAGCGGAGGCACAACAATTAAATTGGCGAAGCCAATTCGGGAAATCACCAGAATCAAACTTTTCCGGCAAAATGCTACTCGCCATTGCTTTTACCTCTGTCACCAATTTGTTATGACCGGGCAGAACGGACAACAGAAACAGACGTGTCTCTAGTGCATATTCCGATTCTCTAATCCTCGAACAATCACGGTTTTCCAATTTATTGATAAACGTGACATGTCATCACATGACGAGCACAAGCAATACGTCATTAACTAGCATTGCCTAATGACACCATTAGAAAACTCATGATTCTACAGATGTGCCTTCGAACATGACATCACATGCACACATGCACACGTTACATATCCTTGGAATTAGGTTCTTCAATATTGTCGCTTGTCTGTAAAATTTAAAAATTTCTCCTCAGATTTTTTCTTTTGTACTCGCTAGATTTCTTCTAGTTTCATGACAGACGACTTGCAAGATCACTTTATACACCTCGTCAAAAGCATCTACTTCAAATATTTAACTGCTCGTACGCGAACATACGCCAAAAAAAGTATAAAGACAGTTGATCAAAAGGAACAAACCAAGTATTCGCCATCTGTTCAAATGTTCTGTTTAAAAGTGTTTTGGGACTGCGAAAAAAACGCCATAGACCCTCCAAAGCAGCGACCAGTACCATAACTGTTAATTTCCATAGTTATGCTTTACCTTTCAATTTTTCCTTAAAAGCCAATTATTTTCGTTCGTAGATGTATCAGACATTCTATTTCAATCACTCTAAACTGAATTTTCGCCTGAATTCTTTGCTTAATGTGGCACGTTTCATACAATTGTTTGTACGTCACTTCTCCGTTTTTGCCGTGCAAATGAAATTTCTCCCGGCTTGCTGTTGTCAAAGCTGCCTCGAGTTGACCCTCTAGCGTTCTCTATTCACCTTATCCACGGCCAGTAACGTTATTTCAAGACATATGGCGTGAAACTACAATTTGTTCTGCTTTCCAAAAAACTCAAATAAATAAGAAAATTAATTCTTGATGAAGTTTGCCCATTGCATTATTCTTGAATTAATTTCAGCGATTTTTGAGCCTCAATATTCTTATAGACTATATTCTTAAATGAAAAAGTGTGTAACAGTAATCAACACGAAGATTACGATAAGCAAAAGTCGTTATTATGGTGCTTTTAAAAATAATTTAAGTAAAACAATAATGTCCTAAATTGTGTATGATCATGAAAGTAAGCAAGCCGGAAAAAACGATGGCTCAAGCCCAGAATTAGAAGGAAATGACGCAAGAAGTTTGACATAATTCCAAGAAGAGGATGCAATTCATAGAGATGATGCAATCATTGCAAACTTAAAGACTCATTGCTAACAATGAGCTATTGCGCTACGCAAGCATCCCATAATGCATATTTAGACAGTCTGAAATCAATTATGGTTAATCCGTAGAAGTTTACTGCTTTTGTTTGGATTGTCGCCTGGATAATTTGCCACCCTCGCAAAGGCTCATTGTTAGCAATGAGTCTTTAATGTTGTTCGGAAAGCATAAACACGTCGTTAGCAATATTCTTGGCGGGAAAACATTTTCAAACCGTTCCAAGCCCTATCACGATGTTGCTCGAAGCAGCAGCAAATACTTTGAGTACCAACGAACGTTCACGGCTATTAGCAAACATGGTCGTTTTTTTATAAATGCTACAATGATACAGTACAACAAAATTTTGAAATGGTGATTGAATTTTTATCGATAACAACGAAAATAACGACACCCAAGAGCTGTCGGAAGTCGGGAACGATACTGCAGCAGATTGACTGCAAAATTATCCATGAAGGAAAGAAACAAAGCCAATTTGTTAATCAAAACAAAACTTTGGCGCCTAGCAATCAGTTATATTAAATATGAGATACAAATTGCATAATTTCTTCGTGGCTAGGCCTTGCGTTTGCACAAGGCCCCTTTGGAACTTAATCTATTTTAGGGGCTCCAATATCCGCATAACTGCACCTTTTTTGCCAGGATATTCATTAACCGTGAATATTTTCGGCAAGATCCGTAAGCCGCGGTAATACCGTTTGTTAACCGCAGTCAAGTATGGAAAATATCCACTGATTATACTCGAGCTTAGGCCAAACCCGCCGGACCCTGTTGGATCCGCCAGAAATATAACTGCTGGTCCGTCCCGAGAAGCTTGTGAGTAAACGGGTAAATTACCGCTTTCTTCGTTGTTTCTATGGTTGGAGCGCGTTGCTATAATCTATTTCGTGTTAAGTTGGATAATATTCATTTTGGTTTGGTACATGCAACACCTCAATACTTTTGTTTATTATTTGCTCATATTCTTCTAAAAAATTAATTGAAAAACCAGAATACGAAATGAAATTCTAGTTGGTATGGAGCGCGAATTCTATCAAAGCCTGGCCTACTACAGGGTCCATTGAATCAAAACAATTCAAACCTATGACGCAATTTTCAAGAATTGAGGTATAAAACGCATATGACATAGCTGCATGAATTCTTCTAACATTTCGAAACACCCTAAATATTGTGCCAAGAACACTCAAAGCATCACACTGACTCAGTACACCAAGGTTAAATTATTAATCTACCCTTCCCTTCTGTAAATATGTAAAATACAATGATGCTATTCGAATACATGTATCGTCAAAATGTGCAATAAGATTAAACATTCATATTGTATAATGAATAGTGAGCAGCTATAGGTATTTTACCAAAAAACAGTGCCAGTCGCATCTCCATTTTCTTTCGTCTCTGTTTTTCTCTGCTCTTACAAAAGTCCCCTTTGCTCTGATGTCCCTATGTGAACTGCGTAAAGAACAGGAACCACACTGAACAACTCCAATTATGTATTCTGGCTAATGACCTGAGGTGGTTATCCCCCTGCCTTATATGTTTCTAGTTTCCTTTTCTGTTCCGTGTAAAAGATCTAACTTTCTGTGACAAAGGTATCACACTGACTCGGTACACCAAGGTTATATAAGAAAGGCTTAATACAATGATGCTATTCGAATAGATGTATCGTCATAATATGCAATATTAAGAATTTATATTGTATAATTAATAGTGAGCAGCTATTAATAGTGAGCAGCAAAAAGCAGTGTCAGTCGCATTTCCATTTTCTTCCGTCTCTGTTGTTCTCTGCTCTTACAGAAGTCTCCTTTGCTCTGACCTTTACTTTACTGGTTAAATGACCCGAGGTGATCTCCCTGCCTTATATGTTCCGTTTGAAACAAATAGGATAAGGAGGCTCGAGTTGAAACCGACTTTTGAAAAATGCACTGAAATGCTTCACGATATTTATGCCTATGATTTTATGGGGCACTCGTTATGCTAGCGGTTCATTGGAAGGCCGCTGAGAGGTTGTCGGGGGCTTTAGGTATACCCAAAGAGGAGGCTTCCTCGCGAGCGAAGCGAGCAGACAATTTTTGCAACATTTCAGAATATTTCTTGCGGTCCTTTTTTGCAAACATTTTGCTATTTTTATAGCATGGTTTTTACGTTTGATTAATTCCAGTCTTAAAATGGAATTCGTTACTTTTTGGGGCACCATAGACCTTATTTCTTTTTAAATAAAGCAATACTGAAAAACGATTTATCGCACTGTTCTTTTCATCACTTTAACTAAAATCTATTTCTATTATTTCTATTCTTTTTATTCTCTAAAAGCACTTTTTTGCGAAAAAGTGGGGGTACTGGAGCCCCCACAGCCCCCCACCTGGTACCGCCCACGATAAGGCAAATAACGGCAAGGACTTGAAAATGGAATGCAACTGCAACTGTTTCAACCAGAGAAAAATGCTAATGACCAGTGACCACCATAACTTAGAAAATATATTAGAGATTTTGAAGATAACAACTAGACAAAAATAATCTGGAGGTCAAGGTCAAAAGCACAGCAATCAAACTTGGCATGTAGATTATATTGAACCGAATTTGAACCAAACATCTAAAGTGCAAGCATTTTTGCAGGTCTGGCATAGAACTTTCTCATTGTACTGTCAAATTCCAAATCAACCTGCTGCGCTGCAATCACCAGGACGCTGCGATGTCCTGTTTGTATTGTTTTGTTGAAAAATGGCGGCAACTTGGAAGCTGTTGCCTGTTCAAAGATTTCAGAATTCAAAACTTCAAGAAGAAATCATCTGTTCTCCTATACTTGCAGACTTTGCACGTATTTTAACATGTTCGCAAGACAAAATTCTTGGAGTATGTTTATCTTTTTATGAATTTTTAGCAGTCAGTAACCTATTATGCAAAGCGTGTCTGCATTTTTCTTGACTAGTAAATTTTAGTTAAGGTTAGCTTTTCTTAATTTTTCCTAAAAACTGAGGCTGGATTCTTCTTAATTTGTTCCTAAAATCTTTAGAGTGTAAACAGTGCATTTGCTAGTTCGTTTGCGAGCAAAATAAGTAAGACATTCTTCATTTACCGACAAATTTGAAAAATTAATTGAAAAACTTAAAACGTCCCTACCCCCTTAGCTAGATGGCAAAACTGCTTGTTTTTTAGATCAAACATTGTCAGAAAATTACATTTTACGGTAGCTCAGCCTCAAATTGTTCTTAATTTGTTCTTAACTTTTGACCAATTCCGAGGTTCCTGTTCTTATTAAGTTGTTCTTATTAAAAAGAGTGTTGTTCAGTTCAGCTTTTTTTATTTTAAATTCTACTGCATAAAATTTATTACAACTAACTTAACAAGTAAAACGTTTCCTTAACTCAAAATTATACAAGATTTTAATACATTAATAACTAATCAATATAATGTGCAAATACGTTTGGTATACCAAACGAGGAAAAAATGGAATTATTTAAAGGAGGCACTCTCTCAGTACAAAAACTAATCGAGGAGAGAGCATAAATGTATTTATATAAATCTATCATTTATAAAGCCGAAAAATTTGGAGGCATAAAATACTAAATGGACACTAGCTTTAAGTCAATGTTCCCTGCTATAGCCTTCAATTCATGGTTACAGATACAACAAATATTGCTTGAGAAGCTTTTTTTTTCTCTGAAAAGTCCTCCTATGCTGTGGAAATATGTTACCTTTAATTTACTTGTGTATTTGGTTGTTAATTGTTGGGGCATAGCAGCCTTATTTTCTACTTTTTTATTGACTTGTTTCCGCAAGCATTCCATTGTAGTCTATTGAGCAGCCTGCATCCATGGCCTTTCCTTCATTGAAATACACAAAAAGCTGTGACTATAAACAGTGCTTTCAAATTTTTTGCTGGTTGTAATATTTGTTTCCAATTTTTTTTGAATTATCAATTTAGAGAGTAAAGATAAGAAACAATGGACATAACTAAAACAATACTCTGCTTTCTGCCTCTTGCAGATCACACTTCGGAATGTCAAATTGATCACAGCATTTATTCAGTGGCTTGTTTCTTCATTAGGTTGACCACAAAGACCTTCTTAACATTGCAGTCGCATTATATGGAAACAACTTACCAGAAATGTCAGCAGATACTTTGTTTCCAGTCTTAACAAAGAAAGGAGTCAAAACTTTATTGATACTCAAAGGAAATCTAGCCGGTAACATTTCTCTATTTGCCTGCATAGATCTACAACCCATGTTTCTCATCCCAAATAATATATAATCATTTTTATTGATTTAAAAGGAAAGTGGTTGGCAATATTTTGCCAAAACTCCCTTATTATAGCATGTTTTTAGAAAGAAAGCAAAAAAGGTGATTGTTCAAAAGTTTTGCCAGACAAACTGATTTCACAAATTATTATCTTGACAATCTCTTCATCACAGTAATTACAAAAGGGGCCCAATTCTACGATATTGTAGACTCTCTTTTACAAGATTAAGTTTGTCTTTTTACAGAGTAAATTTTTTAAAACCACTTTATTTTTATGCATTTTTGTCTTTGACTCTTTTTTGAAGAATTGATGTTATCTAGTTGGAAGTACAAATTGATAGTTGTGGCTTTTTCTATCTAATTAATATTATCAAGGTTTTTGATTAAAATTAAGTTTGCATTTTCAGTTTCTGCTTAAATCTCCCTCAACAACTTTAAATTCTTGCTAAAAATGGTCACATCTTGTTTGTAATGGTTCCTGTCTATATAATGTCCTTTAACAGACAAAATATTTTGGAATAATCGTTTTCTTTTATATGTTGCATGTATTTGAGAAAATAAGGTATTTGTGTAGATGTCCATAGGCACAGGTAGATCAGTATCTAATATCAGTATCTAATTAATCAGTATCTAATTAAGTAAGTGTCATGCTCTTTTTGTAGAAAACTTTTCATGCTGTACTCGATCTGCTCCTAGTGGCAGTCATAATGACAAGGGAAATAATGGGAAGCAAGATCTTTCAGAATGTGGAAGCAATGTCTTGGCAGATAAAGATGAAAGTGACCAAACACTTGGAGAGTTTTCTGATATATTTAGCGATAGTTCAGATACTGATGAAGCTTCTTCAGAGGAAAGGTTTGTTTTCTAATGTTTTGCAATATAATTTTATGTTATTTATGAATATCAACAACTGAACATATATGTTTTTAGTGTAACCTTTTTATCTATGTTCTGATGTTTTATACTCTAAATAAAAAATGTCAGACGAAAAGCTTTATTATTCTCAAAATGTGTGCTTTTTCAAAAGCCATTTTATGAAACTTTCTTTTTCATGGTTTTCCTCTCTCTAAATTCTTTGACCATAGTTAATTTGAACAAATCTTTTAATTGACTAACACAACCACAGAGAAATTCATAGACAGGAGGGGTTAGATACATTTTGGTTGTTGGCTTTCAAGGTTTGTTTAGCTCTGAATCCCAGGAAGGTTTTCACTTCTTCATTGTAAGGTTTCCTGGTCATCGATAAACACATTTAGGCCATATGCTTGGCTAAGTTTATCTAAATATCTGTACTGAGAAAGCATTGATCATTTTTTCATATGTTGATAATTTTCTTTTCTATTAGTGACAATGATGCAGATTTTTCTTCAGAGTTTGAGAAATTTGTAGAAAAAGTGAGAGCTAGGAAAGACAAACCTGATGATGGTAAGAAATTGTTTTACTGAGATGCCTTTATGTTTTACAGTATATTGTTTGCAAATTTGACCATCAAGCATCTACATGCTTTTAAGCAAAGTTATGGAAATCCATCATAGTTTAGATTAGAAAAATGCACTATCTTACACTAAAGAATAAAATGCAGTGTTGTGAAGGCAAATATTTGAAAATTTAAACCTTTTAGATTAAACGTTTTGTCAGTTTCAAAGTATTATGTTATATAATTTTTCTTTTATATTTCTAATATTAGTCATTGAAAATGTGCCCTTTTGAGTAGCTGCCCCTGCTGCCTCAAAATGCTTCCGGCGCCCCTGGCTATTGGCCCCCTGACCTGCTTCTGGCTTGCCTACAAGGCAGGCAGTGCAATTTTTGGGTTGAAAAAATGCTAACCCTGAACATAAATTAAATTTTTCTTTGCCTTTTGAAGAAATGTTGGGTACAGTTGGATGTTCTTATTATAATAATATGGATGCCTTGACTATGCTATGCCCCATGGAAAAATTGCATCCTGGTCATGCAAGCTCAGAATTGTATCCATTGCTGTTACTGGATGGTAATGTTGAATCATGCTCTTGTCAACGTGCCAGAATTCGTTTAGAACGAATCCTTACCTGCCCTATCAGATTGTGCTTTTATTGTTGATCCCTGGCTTATTTCTATTCATGTAAGCTTGAGTTTGATAAGCCTGATAACAAGACCCTTGTGTAAAAGTAAATAGCGACCCAATTTCTTTTGAAATTGTGGTCTGCTTATCAGCTCGGTTATCAGGCCTGGGTTTGATGGTTTAGAAATATCAATTTTTGATTGACTGTCAGGTTATGCCATAGGTCAGATGACGTATTGGAGGATGATGAGATTTCAGATATCATCTTTTCGCGATAGTTTTTCGGAAGATTCTCAATTGATGCATCTCAAATTTCCTGTTTCATCTATTTGCAGTAACATCGAGTTTCAGTTTCGAAATCTGATATCTTCTGTTCATCTGTCATCTGTTCGGAAGAAAATCTGTCATTTTCCTAGATAGCTTTTTACTCACAAATTCCTGTTTTGTTTCGAAAGGGTCGCCAAAGCAGTTTCAACTTTGACATTAAATTGGCAAAAGGAACATAATTCTTTTACTTCCATGTTCTTACTGGAACTGACTCCGGAACGACTGAATTTGAAAATAAAGAGTACTGTAAATCGTAAAGTGATTTGAAAAGTATTGGTGCAAATAGATGAAAGAAAATATAGAAACGAAGGAAATCGACGTTATGTTGATATTATTTGACTTTAAAGACTATCAAAAGGAGTCTTATACAATCGAATTAGAACTAATATATTGTCGACAGGTAAATATTGTAAAGGTTTTTGTACGGTCAATTACAAGATTTATCTTACTTTGTACTTTGGAATTCGATTCAATGTGAAATTAATTATATTTCTCGCCAGCTCATTATTTAATATTTTTTACTTTTTGGGCTTATTTTTTTTAAATTGACGATAAAATGACAAAATTCCCATACTGCTGGCCTCCGCTATTAATAATCAAATGTTCAGATGAAAATAAATCCGATTATCTTAAAGTTTTAAAAAAGAGGAGTCTGAAGACAGAAACGTGAAACAAAAAACATTTATAGAGAAAAGACATTGGCTTCAGTGAGCGTTATTTGGTGTACTGCGTTACTCAGTAGTGGATCAAAACAGGCTATTCAGAAAAACGCGAACGGTAATGCACGCCAATCAGTTCCGCGTGTCTATAGAAAATCACCAAGGCTGAAAATGAACATTTTTGGGCGTACGAACGTGCCACAATCTTCAAATCTGTGAGGCAACCCTCCATCTTGTAGTTAAATGGTGTACGTAATGATGTCATCGTTCTGTGCGCATGCTCTTTCACTCATTTACAACTTTTGTTCGGCTCTCCAGCAAGACAAGATAGCAGAAAACGATAAATTGTCAACGATCAGGCCAATCGACCAAGCATTCAGACCTGCAGTATCAGAGTCGCAGAAAATCTGTTGATCACCTTTTTATTGTTATCATCAATCTTTCTAAATTTTACAATCGCAGTTAGCCTGACAATGCATTGAAGTCTGAAGAAAGTCTACTCGATTGACTTTCAGCCTTTTTCTCCCTGCCTGTTTGAAGAAATGATCGAAGACATTAGAGACAATTCCTCTAGTCTTATTGTCCGTGGATCTACTAATTTTAATCCGAAGAAAAAAGTTGGCAATTTGCTTTCGTTATTACGGCGTATCTAACCAATGCGTCAGAACAACTTTGGGCTTCGGTAAAGACGATAAATCTTTGGGCTTCGGCAGCATTAGATGTCCAAATAAGATTTTGGTGCCGCAAAATTTGAAAATGGCACGAAATAACGGAAATATAGCATCCTTAAGTACGTTTCATCCGACATTCTTCAGAGTACTAACGTCGTATAATGACCGAAAGCAAGCTGAAAATTTATAACCAGGTTTGGATCGAAAGTAACGTGAGAGGAAGAAAGACGCGTTTGATTGGTTCCTTTGGTTTTTTTCCAATCAGCCCCCGTTAAGCTCTCACCTAGTTGATGAGTCTGATGGAAAACGAACTCATTCTGAGAGGAAACGAACGCTCCTTCACCGAGCATTGCGTCCGAAACTGCTTTAGCCCAATCGTGCCTGTCGTTGGCAAGATCTACAAGTCTTCATAAGAAGATTGCTGGACCTTCCATCTCTCTTTTGGTCAGAAGGCCGGCAATCTGAAGCCTTGTGTCGGGAGATAGGCTTCGGATCTTTGGCTATTATTACCTGTGTACATTACCTTTTTTACTGCAGACAATTTGATTATAAAAAGGCATGGATACTCTGGAAGTTTTATCAAACAAGTCATAATTGACATACGTGAGAAAAAGAAGAAAATACCATATTCACATCTTATACTACGTGAAGCTGAAGTCAAACATGGCCTAAATTACAAGACCGCGAAGGGTGTTCTCCACCAAATGGTTCTAGACAACAAAACCATTGTGAATTCTGAAAATTTCCACTGCATCAACACCAAATCATACTCCACAAGTGAGTCTGAGGTTAATGAGGTACATGGATCTAGTGGTTCGGGTACTTCATTGGGAAGCATGGCTGATAGCTTGATCGAACTTAATCGTTTGCTCCAAGAAGAACGATCAAAAAACCTGATCTTAATGGAGGAAAATTGCTCTCTGAAATTGAAACTCAGAGCTGATGCCGTGAACAGCCCCGAGCTGCGAACAGCCATTGCCCAGATGAGATTCCAAACAATAGCGCTATTGTCCAATCCCCTAGCATCAAGAATACTCAGCTATTGAAATCAAAGAAAACTAAACAGAAGAAGAGTAAAGGTAAACGGGCAAATGAAACTGAAGCTCCACTAATCAAAGACATCGGTAATTGCAATGCTGCTCAAAGTGCAACCACCCGAGTTTCAAAGTCAGCTTCTTCAGCGCCAAGTGGCTCTGTGCCTCCTCGACTACTGATGGAACTGTTAATGAGGACAACAATCCTGCAAATGATAACAACGAAAATGTGAGCCAAGATCCTGGTGTTTGGAGAAAAAACACTGTCCTCGTTCTAGGTGACAGCATGAAGTGGCGTTGCGTGACCATTCTCGCTGGGGGGGGGGTGTAAGAAATGCAAAACCATATTTTACCGACAGAAATTATTTCTATACATTATTATTTTGTTATTAATTTAATTCTACCAACGAGTTCTCTAAAAGTTGAGGGGTGTACACCCCCACACCGCCCGCACGCTACGCCCCTGAAAGCATGGTTTCAAGTATTAATAAAAAACACTGAGCAGAAAGTTTCACTTGAAAGTGCGATGTTTTCCTGGAGCAAATACCCGTGAGCTCCAAGACCACGTAAAATCGCTCATAAGAAAAAGGCCTGACAAAATCATCATCGTGATCGGCACTTCTGATATAGAACGAAAGCCAGTTAATGACATCCTACGGAGCATCAAATTGGTAATGGATATCATTCTTGAAAAACTACCAGATTGCCACCTTGTCATCTCAAAGATAATCAGGCGTGCCGACAGAAGGCTGAGCGATGCTGAATTAGCGAAACTAAATGGTAAGATCAACCAAAGTTTGAAGAAAATGAATGTTGACATTCTCTGGCAACAAAATGTCATTCAAGATCATTCAGGTCGAGATAGACTACATTCGAATTTTAACGGTAACAAGCAGCTTGCATTAAACATTATAAAGAAACTTAGATCTTTTAAGCATTGACAAAAACAAGAAGATGATCCAAGGGGCTCTTCGCCTAAAGATATTGCTCATAATAGTCCAACTGATACTAGGATAACCCCTGTTGGAGTGCAGCGTCTTGGCCGCGCAAAGGAATTGTGATTGCTTCCTTAAATGTTAATATTTTAAAATTTCATCTAGATGAAATTAAATGCTTAGTTAATGAAAAAGGAATCCACATCCTAGCAGTGAACGAAACTAAGCTTGACAATGAAATCACCGATAACTTGCTCGCGATCGAGGGCTACACTCTACACAGGGAGGACAGAAACAAAAGTGGGGATGGAATTGCTGTGTATGTGCGCAATTCGTTAAAACACAAGAGACGAACGGACATGCCCGATAAGTCTCTCGAATTGGTTTGCATAGAAATCGAACCTATAATAGCCAGGCCCTTTCTTATATTCGTCTGGTACCGACCTCCATCTGCCCTTATTGAGTCTTTCAAAAAACTGGAAGGAAATTTAGAATATTTCGATAGGGAAAACAAAGAAATGATTTTCATGGGTGATACCAACTGTGACTTATCGTCGAAGGTAGCTGATGAATACTGTAGCTCGCTCAATAATGCTGCACATTTAGCTGAAATATATGATTTGTTCGGTCTGACGCAAATGATTCGCGAGCCTATAAGTGTGATGCTAACTTCATCAACGCTTATCGACCACATAGCCACGAACAAGCCTGAAAACGTGGTTGCATCTGGCGTCTTTAGTATTACTTTAAGCGACCAC